TCCACGCCACTTCAGTAGCAAAGGCTGGAGTGTAACTCGTATGCCTCGAAATATGATTATGAGATTGAATTTATAGGATACTCGCAAGTAGACTGTGTTTCAGTCTATTAAAGTGTTTTAGAAGAATGTTTGGAGTATATGGTGTTAAGTAAAAACAAGCGGCCTGTGAAATTTTAAAGATCGCACATGAGTTCAACGTTGTTTTTCAAAATCCACATGTAGAAACAACTAAATATTGACAATGGTTAACACTGGGTGACTTTTCTTTTTTAGCAGCTTATTACATTCTCAAATTTTTTCCCAGTAAAAAATATCAGGGAAGGCCTTCAAAAGAAGTGTTGGATTTTCACGAGCCGTGCCCTTGTCTAGTCACCTTCAAAGATCGTTGCATCAATTATATCTCACTTACTTGCAGTAGTTCCTGAGAAATTAAGAAGCACTCAAAATTGGTAAGCGGTTGACTAAAACAGCACTTAACACAGCTCAGGGCAGAAAATGGCACTTGTGTGTGAAGGGGAGGGAAAGGAAGGCAAGGGGAGGAGATTGTCCAAATGTTGTGAAACAAGTTGTAAGAACTGCTTTTGTTCAGCCTGAAAAAATATTCCCATTTAGTTCTTCAACTTAGGGTCGTGCCAAAGACCTGCGACAATGGCTGAGCCATTCTGCCTATTTATACATTCAAGTCCCATCCAGGCAGTGGGAAATTCCAAAGAAATAGGCATAATCAGTGGAATGTACTGTAATACGGGTGTGCTTTTAATGAATGCGCAAAGGTTGTACGGATCAATTGTCCATTTGATTAATTCTTCTGGCAGCAGAGAATTAACTGTTCTCAGGCTGCACACCAGCAATGGCTGAATGCTCTTTAAACTGTGATTTTCTATGTAGAGGCCAATTCTTTTCTGTGCAAAAACATTTCTGGAGATAATAATGGAAGTCAATGAGAAAATGGAATATGCCATGTAAACATTCAACTCTATAGTACTTTGTCACAAAGGCATCTAACGTGCAAAGCAAGGTCAAGGTCTATACAGTATTCACTGTTATTTGCAGCAAATTTTCCTTTCAGGTTCGTGCTTGCATCATTTCACATAGTACATAATACATCCCTGTTTTAGAAAGAATTCATTGTCAAAAGTTTACCCTTCTCCTATATAAAGGATTTGGCATTAGCTTACAAAAGACCTCCAAATCCAAAGAGATAGTTATCTTCTTCAACTCATGGGAAGTTGCATAGCCGCAGGGTAAAGAAAAGTCTGGTACTTTTTGTTACTCAGAATGATAATATTTGAGATGCCAGTGGAAAGAAACAAATTGTTCTGGAAGGTATGGGGAAGCTAAGTATATAACCAGAATTTCAGACACTCTTTTTTTTTTTTTTTCACATTCAGGAGTATTTCTCAGAGTCCTGTTATGTGACAAACATAGTACTGGGTCCTGAGAGAAGCACAGGGAGTGGGTCAAACTAAATGTGGGCCAGCACTGTGATACAGTAAGCTAAGCTGCTGCCTGCAATGCAGCAGCTTATCAGTGACTGACTTCTCCACATTTGATCTAACCCTAGGCTACTGTGCTTGGGAAGGTAGATGGTCCTACCAGAAGAGGATGGTCCAAACACTTCTACCTTATCACCCCGAGGGGATATCCAGAAGTAGCTCTAAGCTCCTGGCTTCAGATGGCCCAGTCCTGCCCACTATGACCATGTGGGGAATGAATCAGTGAGTGGAAGATGTGTGTGTGTGTATCTCTCTTTTTCCCTCTATCACTTTGCCTTTCAAATAAATACATTTTGGGGGGTAAAACTAAATGTTATCATGGAACAAGCTTATCAAAAAGTCTAGAGTGGAAGGCACACATTAATCAAATCTTTCAAATGCATAACGGCTTCATTAGTCCATCCTTAACTAGTAGCTCAGATTTCAAGGTAAGTAGAAAAACTCACTTCAAGAGGAATTCTGCACCAGATATCCTCCCTTCCTATGCGTTACTGAGCATCATCATAAAAACAGCAGCACTCACAACTCAACCTGCTTGCAGCTTGAAATGGGACCACTTTTACTTCAATCCACATTAGAAAAACCCCTCCGACTAACTGGGATAAAGTAAAATGCCTTCAATCTCCCCACAAGGCACACACACTCCAGTTAATGCTGCCTTTACCACCCCAGTTGCAGACAGATCTGTGCCTCCTTTTGAACAGGTGTTAATCTGCCTTGTGTCCTAAATTGGGGTAGAGAGGAAATGACCTCCCAGCTAAGATCAAAGGACAGGACAGTTAGTTGCTCCTTTCTGTCTGAGAGCAAGGGTACAATAGGGTCTTTGGTAGATCTCACTTTCAAGTCATTTCTCTTCTCCATTCTTTTATTTTGGTCTGGGGCTTCCATATGCAACACCTAATGAGAGCTGGTGAGAAAGCAGCCAACAGGGCCGACAAAGATGCCAGTTCACAAAAAGGATAAACACAGCCAGCATATAAACAGATGAATGAGCCAGTCCATTTCAGAATAGCGAGAGTACTGGGAAGAAGATAATCAGGGGTCACTATTAGGGTCATATGCTATGTGTGTGTGTGTGTATGAGAGAGAGAGAGAGAGAGAGAGAGAGAGAGAGAGAGAGAGAGAGCGCACAACTGGGAAGGCCCTCAGAATTGAGCCTAGAACTTATGAATGAGAAGGCACCAGTAGAACAGAGCCTGAAGAAAGGCATTCTACACAGGGAAGTGAAGACGCCACATTGCAATGAATTTCAAGTGATCTAAGGGATAGAAGAGGTCAAGTGGTTGGAGCATGGGGAGTGAGGCATCAGGGAAGCTTCAGGGAATTACCATGTCCTCTGAAGAGTTCAGTGTAGGTGAAGTGGAGAACCACCGAACCAATAGCTATAGTGATGTGACTCTAGGGGATCACCTACCAAAAGAGAGATGCAAGTGTTAAAGGGTAGTGGCTTGAGTGGGATTCTGGGTGCCAGAGTAGGTGGTGAAATAAATTAAAGAAATGAAAAAAAAAACTTTAGGGAAGATGAATCACAAAGTCTTCATCTAGGGATGATGTTGGGATTTTTAAGGGCTTTAGACTACTCATTTTCCATTCATTTTTATTATAATTGAACTAATTTGCAAATATTTATCAGACATCTGGAGACAGATGCAGGGATCTAACTAAAAGACAAGCAATACTGTTTAAAACAGGCTGAGAAAGAAATTAAGCGAAAAAAATGGCACAGGATCTTATCAGGCCATTCTAACCTTCACAATTTATGGCGATTTCTTCATTTATTTTGAGCCATTTGTCTCAGTGAGCCAGCCATTCAGACATGAAAAATCTTTGTTGGAGAAGAGATTTAGTGTTCAAAGGCATCACCAGGAAAGGACACCAGCTCCTAGCAGGATGGACAGAAGTCCCAGCAGAATTAAAACATCATTTCTCACGTGGACCATGACCTTATTGCCCTATCCTCTTCTCTTCTCTGTCCAGGCTCTGCTGTCAGATAAATCTTTATAAAGTACAGTTCTCACTGTTTTACTCCTTTGAGGAAAAATTTTCCACAGTTTATCAGCACTTTCTGAATGAGGAAATGAATCTGTCTCACTCCCTGGTCTTGACTTCAAGATGATTGACTTCCTTCCCCCAAATCAGGAGGCTCTGTGCTCCCTCTCCCAGAAATATTCCTTAAGTTTTTCCATCTTCTAGACTTTGTGCACAATATTCCACTTACTAGAAAGTAATGGCTAGCTCTTTCACTTTTGAGGCTCTAGACCACTTTTCAAGAAAATTAGAGAGAGATTAATTTCCCATCTACTGGTTGACCCCACAGAGAACTTGGACAGGGATGGGTCAGAGGTAGGATTCAGGAACTCAATCCAGCTCTTCTACGTGGGTGGCAGCAGTCTGAGTACTTGTGTCACTATTGTCAACTACCTGACTACAGATTGACAAAAAACTGGAATCAGAATATTGCCAGGACTCGTACCCAAACATTCAGATATGGGATGTAGGTGTCTTCATTGCATCTTAACTGTTGGGGTAAATGCCTACTTCTAGATCACTTCAACAATGGTTTTCACAGATGCCGTTAAACGTGGGACAGGGATAGATTTCTCTACGGTTTCAAGAACACGCTACAGCACCATTACAAACCACTGAAAGCTTACTGCAATTCCGCATTTCCTTCAAGGTTCACATCAGACATCATCTCTTCTCTGAAGCTCTCTTAATCCTCTTCTTCCTAGTGGGCGTGGAGGGACTTTCCACACCCAGAGGGCTCCCCACTGAGTCCCTTTCTCAGAAATTTTGTAGCATATGGCTTGGTACCCTATGAAATTGTACCTTTTCTGTTTGAGCTATTTAAAAATTTTACCAACAAGCATCGCCCAAATCATCCACAGCCTTAAATGTCATGTGCTCAGGGTGTACCTTCACTAGAACTGATGTTTAAGGGCAGGAAATGTTTCCGTCACTAAGTCATGATACATGCATCCATGAGAATGTACATACTTCAGGAACTCCTTAATCACTGGGACTTCCTTGCTTTCATTATTATATTCCTAGAGTGAGAAGTGCTAAATAAATACACTGGTTGGTTGATCAATTGATGGATAAGCAAATAATAATAGAGGTCAGTTATTCAGTATTTCTTTCATACTACACTGTAAGCAATACTGTCTTTGTCCTCACAAAAATCATGAGGTGTGGGTTACTGCCTGCATTTCTGATATGAGGAAACCAAAAACTAGGTTGATAATTCTCGTGGCCAAACAACTGGTATGTGTTAGAGCTGGTGTTGGAAACCAGCTGTGCCTGATTGCCTAGCGCATTGATTTTGCTTGCTATGTTCCTGGAGGACCTCTGCCCTACGCCCCTTCTGCTCTATTCCACAGCTCCTTCTGTTGAGACAGGTCCTTTCCCTGTGGACAAATAACAGCTGATGGCAATCATGACCTTGGATGACCACTGGATGGACGGCCTGAACCAGATGGCAGTAGAGCTGTCACCTGTGCTCACCTGTCAGTCAAAGGTGTGATCACCAGGCGAGGGGTGTTCCCCAGGTATTCGTAGGAATACAAGAACTGGGCATCGCAGATGTTTGCAAAGCAGTGTTTGGTCTCATCATCCCAATGGTGGCGCAACTGGGACAGCCAGAGGAAAGCCTGGGCATTGTCCACCTATAGAGAGAGTGTGAGTGTCAGGGGATAAATCATTGTGTCCAAGAGGTAGTAGGTGTCTCCCACTCCCCATCTCAGGGCCACAGGATACATAAGGCTGTTTATAACTTAGCTGTTATCTACTGTTAAAAAAATGTGGAAATGTAGCATGCTGTGATTATCATGGCACAAAAAGCACAAGCTACCCTGCTTATAAACACTCTTCAGGTTTTATCTTAATGGTAAGTTGAAAATATTGTGAATCCAAAATGCATTCAATACACCTAACTTACTAAACAGCATAGCATAGCCCATCTTAGCCAATTCAGATCAGTTATAGTAGCTACCGCTGGGTTAACGAAAAGTTAATACTAACTCAAAAAAGCCCATTTTATAGTAAAGTAATGAATATCTCATGTAATTTCCTGAATACTGTACTAAAAACCACCAAGAAGTTAAAAAAAAATCCAGGGCCAAATGTCATGAAGTCAGGGATCATCTGCATACCGTCCTGATGGAGGAGGTTTAAAAGGTAGGAGCAGCCACCATGATCCTCTTTCTGTCCGGTGAGTATGGTGTAAGAGACCCAAGTCTGACTCCATGGCAGCTACTTTCACAAAGAGGAATATCTCTGGACCCTCAGGACCCACCTTCTGAGCGATCATCTTGGCCACAACATCCCGAGCATGCACATCGATGGTGCATATGGTCATGATCTTCTGCCGGTCCCCCTTGGACAGCTCGCCAACCAGCATGGTGATGAGTGTCTTTAGCTGGGCCACTTGCTTCTTGTAATAGTCTTTCATGGCACTCTCATAGCCTTCCTCCAGCCTGGCAAATGCAATGCCTACTTCTGTCGTCCACCAGATCTGAGTGCAGGTCAAGGCCACCTGCGGCATCAGGAGTCATTTTAGGAAAGCTGTTACCATGGCTGTTCCCAACCCGCCGACTCATTGCACAGCAGGGGCTCGAGATGTAATTGTGTGGGTGACATCGCCCCTTCCCTCCACCCCCTTCTTCCGGCATTGACTAAGTGAACCATATGTTCTACTTTGCTCTATGTCCTTGGAGGAGTGAAGCAGCTAAAACACAAAGTGGGGTAGGGCAAGGGGAAGCATTTTCTTCTCTAGAAAAATGTGTCAACCAAAGATTTATCTTGGTCAATTAACAGCTTCTAGAAATGGCTGCACTGATCACTTAGGTTTTAACAAGCAGTTTCCTGTTTCCTGGACTCGAGAGGGTAGCAGTATGGAGACTGAGCATCTCAATAGCACTCCCTCCAGCCTTCTGTGGTCTGAGGATTTTAACATCTGTGGCATGTTTGCTTGTCTACAGTACTTTGAATACATTTTTAGGGAGTGGCATGATGGCCCGGAAGGTAAGGCTGCCACCTACAACACTGGCATCTCATGTTGGAGCTCTGATTCAAGTCCTGGCTGCTCTAAGAATCCTGCTTCCACTGATATGCCTGAAAAGAACAATAAATGATGGCCCAAGTACTTGTATTTCTCCCCGGAAGATCTGGGTGGAATTCATGGCTTCTGACTTCAGATTGGGTCTGCCACACCTCCTGGGATCATTTGGGAAGTGAACTTGAGGATGGACAATCTGTCCATGACCCACTTTACTTCTCTCTGTACCTGACCTTCAAGTAAATAAATAAATAAATAATTTAAAAAGCCTATACCCTTAAAGTATGTACTTTTGAAAGACAAGGTAATGATTATTCAGAGTGGTAGGCAAGAATTTCATACTATTCAGAGGTTAAAATTAATAAATTGAAAAAGTTACTGAAATAAAAGTTTCTACTGTTTTATACAGATGCATAGTTTTGATCACTCATGGCATATAATTTATTTTCTCGTACTTTATCCGAGCGGACGAAGACGGACAGATATAGATCTCCATCTGCTGGTCACTGTCCAATTCCTGAAAGATCTGGGGCTGGATCAGTTCGAAGCAAAGGGTCAGGAGCTCAGTTAATAGTTCCCAATTGGGACCATCATCAACTGCCTCCAAGGGTCAGCCTTAGCAGAACCATCATCTGATCCCTCCCAGGATGCATTAGCAAGAAGGTGGATCAAAAGTACAGTGGCAAGGACACAATCCAGTACTTGGATTTCAGATGTGGGCATTCCAAGCAGCCGAACAATACCCGCCCAGCCCCTTCTCTGCTTTTAGCTTGCCCATTCCTGCTTCAAACCTCAGCTTGAATAGCTTATCATCAGGAAGGGAATCACCAGGCCCTGCTACCTAGTTACAGGTTCCCAGTGAACACCAAGCTACTCCTAGTATCACATCAGTCACATTAGTGAGTGACTGAGTTCCACGCTAACCTGTGAATTCCAGCAGGTTCAGTTATGTAGTCTTATTCTCTACTTGTTCTGCGCTCAATCAGGAGCTTCACAAACACAAACGAACTGATTCAAAGAATGGAGTTGTTCACATTTCTCACTGCTGGAGCCAATGATGGTAAAAATAGACCATCCTTGACTTCTTTATTTTCTTTCAAGATCTATTTATGTATTTGAAAGGCAGAATTACACAGAGAAGCAGGCAGAGGGAGAAACACACACACACACACACACACACACACACACACACGGGAGATTTTCGATTTTTCGTCACCAAGTGGCTGTAACAGCTGGGGCTAAGCCAGGCCAAAGCCAGGAGCCTGGAGCTCCATCTGGATCTCCAATATGAGTGGCAAGGGCCCAAGTGCTTGGGACATTCTCCATTGCTTTCCCAAGCACTTTTGCAGAGAACTAGATTAGATGTGGATCTGCTGGGACTTGAATAGGTACTCATTTGGGATGCTGGTGTCACAGGTGGTAACTTAACCTGCTAAACCATAATGCCAGCCCTTATCCTTGACTTTCCATGGCTTTCACCCCTGTTCCCTTTAGCTGACCCCTCCCAGCTGTCTAGAATTGAGGCCCCTCCTGATTGTGAAGCCCAGGAAGTCTGTGGGCTTGAAAACTCTGAAGGCTCGGGGAGGTTACTGATGGAGAGAGCCTATGAGAGGGAGAGAGCCCACCTAGGTGGTGCCAGGGGGATACCTGGGCCGGGTAGTCAAACAGCCATTGTTCCCTCAGCTTCTCTTCATATGCAGTGACACCTTCTGTCATCTCGTGCCTCACAGTCGCCTTCATGTGCACAAGCACACGGTTCAGCCAAATTTCTACCTGGAAGAAGATTTGGGTTAGGCATGACTTGCCTAAAGTGCTGGTATAAACATTATGCTTCCTTCTACTCAGCCTGCGTGAGTGAACAAAGTGGAGCCTGGCTATGGGGTGCAACCCTCTCCCCACACCCCAACGACCAGCAGAAAACACAGGGAGATGTTCTGCTTGTGCAAACCAGCACGACAATGACGGAGAACCGGAGTTGATTAACAATGGGCCGATGCACCCATTGGAAGCATGAACATCAGGGTAGCAGGGTCAGCATAGGGAAGGCTGCTTCCCAGGGTTTGTACGAGGGAATCTAAATCTGGGTTGAACAAAGTGTAAATAAATCAGTGGATGCTTATCCCTGCGTTCACACTGAGGATAGAGATGAAAGCTGGGACTGTGCTTCCCAACTAAATGCTTTTTGGATCCACAAAAATGCATTCTGAATGAAGCCCCGAGGCTACTGGCCAAACTCATCTCACTGAGAACTGGTGATTATTTTCTGGTAGAGAACTGCCTTCCCAGATGATATGGATAAAGGTAGCACACTGTAAAAGATCCTTTAGCAGCTGTTACTCTGCACTATATTGGAAGCCTTGAGGCAATGCTTTGCTGGGTCGCTGAGGATAAAGATTACAAAAGGAAGGAGGTTTATCACATCGTGGTGGTGCTGAAGTAAGGGTAAGGGTGAAGTCTCTGGGTCCATGTTCCTTGATTTGGACAGGAAGGTAATTGGCTCCCCAAAGGGGATGGCTATGGGAGCAAGCGACTCAGAGTTAACAGTGCAGAGAGGGGATTTCTTGGACAAATGGCTGATTCTGAGGGATATTTTCTGCAGGGGGAAAGGTATCTATGTGTCAGATTCCCTGGCAGGGTGCCCCCCGGTGTTGTCCTCTTAATATCTGCTGGTGCTGCTGATCTTTTAAAAATATTTACGGTAGACTCAAGCAGTTGTTGATGTGCATTTTATTCCTCTCTGCCCATGTTTTCTGGTGCAGGAAGGGAGATGGCTGGTGATATATGTCCCTCCCAGAGAGGACAGCAGGGCACGAGAGGTTGTTGTGGTGTCAGTTCTAGTCAGGAGAAGTGGGCCATCCCAGGATATGGACAGCAGTGCAGGCTTGAGCCCAGCATCCCCAGAGTTGAGGCTGACCCTATTGGAGTGCAGAGACTAGAGGGAGGTAGGCATGGGGAGGGAGATGGGCTGTCGTGTTACCTGCCCACTGCAGTCACAGGGCTCGCTGAAGGCCACATACTCGTCTTCTTTGCTGTACATGCCGAGACTGATCTTGGTAGGTTTCTCACTACCATCCAGCTGGAACTGCATCTTGGTCATGTTGTCAAAGAGTTTGGAAAGGTGGCGCTGAACCTATGAAGGAAAGTCATATCAGGGAACTGGAGAACGTGCCTAAGAAGCTGCTTGTCAGAACTGCTTTTTTAAAAAAATATATTCATCTTTATTGGAAGGCAGTTTTATGAAGAGAAGGAGATACAGAGAGATCTTTCAACTGCTCATTCACTCCCCAAGTGGCAGCAATGTCTGAAACTGAGCCAATTTGCAGCTGGGAGTGTCTTCCAGGTCTCCCACATGGGTGCAGGGTCCCAAGGCTTTGGGCCATCCTCTACTGCTTTCCCAGACCAAAGGCAGCGAGATGGATGGAAACTGGAGCAGCCGAGACACACAAACCAGCTCCCATAGGGATCCTGGTGTTTGCAAGGCAAGAATTTAACCATGTTGAACCATCACGTTGGACCTGTTTGTTAGAATTGTTTAGGGACCTATTGTGTATCAACTCTTTAGTGGTGGATCCCAAGCATTTAGAAGGGAACTTTGTGAAAACACTGGTGATGAGATGATAGTAGTTAAATGAATCATATACAAGTGACTAAAGTATTATAACATGAATGGGAATTGTGCACAAGTTACAAACCGATGAAGCCACAAGTGATTTAATTAAATTCCTTGTTCTGGATCTACTATAGAAAAGATGATTTATCAATCTTTATGTAAAAAACACAGTTGTACAAGAGGAGATGAGCAGAGCATGGGGTAGTAGAGAAGCTAATGCCTTCAGGGTTAGAGGGTCATGAAGGTTGGTGACAGGTCGGTGCCAGGAAGCCACCTTGTGGCAAACACACACAAACAGGGTGCAAGGCAAGGGAATCTGGCTGGGCCAAGTTGCTCCCCAACATGTTATCTGTGAAGCCTGTGGAAGTGATGCTGGTGACATCGACACTGAAGTCCCGAAGTAAAATAAGTGCACATGGGATGCCAGTGCAGTGTGTGGTACCTTCACCTGCTTTGCCACAGCACCAACTCCTGTAATGTTCTTACTTAGAGGAGAGGAAGAATCCAAGCATATTCATTCAGGGAGATTATGAATCCAAGCATATTCATTCAGGGAGATTATGACGGTTGTTGAGCAGAGACCACCCCCACTGACTTGGGATATATATCTCAGTGGAGCAGGTCTGTCTTTATCCATGTACAAACACTCATGGTCACAGTGGATTAAAACAACAACAGTCACGCTATGAAATTTAATAGAAGGAGAAATCAGAACTCAAGAGATAGAACAAGAACATAAGCATATTTAAACCGTTTTCTTACTGACTGGAGTGTTTCTTTATGTGCATTTTGTTTATTTCTCTTGCCACATATCTACATATTATATATGTATTATTTATATACCATATGCACACGTTTATGGGGAAAGTGATTTTGGAAAAAAATCACCTAGTTTTGATCTCAATTGCAAAACAGAGACGTGAAATCTGTAAAATACACAGTAAGGGGGGGCTGGCACAATTGCTCAACAGGTTAATCCTCCATCTTCTGGTACCAGCTTCACTTCTGATTCAGCTCTCTGCCTATGGCCTGGGAAAGCTGCAGAGGACGGCTCAGGCGTTTTGGACACTCCTGTGGGAGACCCAGAAGAGGCTCCTAACTCCCAGCTCAGATCAGCACAGCTCTGACTATTTTGGCCATTTTAGGAGTGAACCAGAGGATGGAAGATCTTTTTCTTTCTGTTCTTCTCTCTGTGGAGCTACCTTCCCAATAAAAACAAAATAAATCTTTAAAATATAAGGTAAAAGAGTAGTTGACAGAGGCAGAGAGAGAAAAAAAAGGAGAAAATAACAATGACACAGCATCCTTTCCAATATTATTTTTGATTTGAAAGTGCTAAATTGACCCAAAAGGTTAAATATGGTGAGTAAACTTGAGAAACTATGAAAGAAAGCCACAAAAGGGCTAAAAGATAAAAATATATATACACATACATATATACACACACACACATATATATACACACACACATAAATATATACACACACATATCACAATCTCAATTAATGAAAACGCAACTGCCTTGAAAGAAGAAAATTCCAAATAAATGGAATAGAACCATTGCTATAAAACAGAAGGAAATTGCTATAAAATAGAGGGAAATTCTTTTTAAAAGACAATGAAGGCTCTTTTTTTTCCTTTCTCTTCATTGGGAGTCGGCGGGGGGGCATGGCACAGAGAGAGAGAGAACACCCTCTTTCGCTAGTTCATCCCTAAATAGCTGCAATGCCTGGGGCTGGGTCTGGGCCAGGCCTAGGAACTCAACTAAGAACTCCAACTCAACCATCGGAGCCATTGTGTATCATTTCCCAAGCTCCGCAGGAACACGAAACTAGGAACAGAAGCCAATATACGGATATCCTCACTTAATAGTTAGCTTTAACTATTAAGCTATAGGACTGCCTAATAGCTCTGGTTTCTTATGGGAAAATACGGTATGTCAGACAAGAAATTGACAAAACAAAGCAAGGTTCAAAACATACCCACATTTAAAAAAATTCAATTCAAATTTTGATCCTTACATGGATCCACCTAGAAAGATACTAGGTGATCCTGAAAGCTGTAGGTGCGAGTGGTGTGACATGTTAGGCTGCTGACGGGCATGCCTAGACCTGATATCAGAGTTCCTGGTTCAAGTTCTGGCTACACTGCTTCTCATCTAAGTTACTGTAAGTGATGGCTCAAGTAACTGGGTACCTGAAACCTAAAGGGGGGATCCAATGGAGTTCTGGCCCAGCCTTAGCTGTTGTGGTCACTTGGGAGTGAACCAGTGGATGGAAGGTTCTCTTTCTCTCTCAAATGAAATAAGAAATCAACAGCAACAAGCACTTAAAAATGAGTACACATTCTGTGTACAAAAGGCATTAAAAGTGTGTCCATGACTGGGCCCCTTGTGTAGATAGAATTTGTGAACATACACATCCAAAGTGTTAGAACAATTGGCCTGACAAGGGCTAGATGTAGATAGTCTAAAGGCTAGTGGAATGCTAGTTGCTCTGGAAAGCCCCCGCACCTGGGGACATGGAAAACTGCTAAGAAAATGCACTGTGAACTTCACCTAGGAGCCTTTCTGCACATCCCCACTCACCTTATGAGGATCCCCGAGGTGCACTGCCCCTCCTCCTACAGGCTGCTTAAGAAGGGCCTCTGCTGCTGCTTTATAGAAACAAAGCCTGATTTCAAATCCTCTGCTCTCTGTCTGGGCATTCTCTTTGAATCCCCACCACCTTAAAAAAAATCCTTATATATTTTCTACTAAACCATTTTAATGTCCAATTAATACAAATTCCAATTTTATTTCTCCATGGAGATTATGACATTTAAAAATACACAAACCACATTTTTATTTTTAATGGACAATAATTGTGCACTTATTGGGTAGGGTGTACTATTTCAATGCTTGTATACAAATCTGTCATGATGATATGCAAAGAGCAGAATGCTGGAGTAGAGCCCACAGCTGAAAGACTGTATCATTCTAAAACACAGGGAGGAAAGAGAAGGAACGGCATAAAGCCCTATAGCTACAGAACTGTAAAATGGAAATGAAGAATTAAAAGGTGTGATGATCAGATTACAGTAATTGGTATTGCCACTCCTTCAAACATTCGTCATTTCTTTGGGTTGTGATCATTGCAAATCCTTTCCAGTGGCTGTTTTGGAACATGCCACTGACTGATCTCAATGGTAGCCATCTCACTCTTCTGTAGATTAGAAGTTATTCCTGTCAACTATACCAGTCAGTCATCATCCTCTCTCAACCCCTAATCTCTGCCTCACACCACACAACTCTTACCTCATTCTGGAAACTGCTTGTTCTATTTACTCCTAAGAAATCAACTTTTTAGCTTCTGCCTTTCAGTGAAAATATGCAGTATTTATCTTCCTGTGCCTAGAATCTTGTTCTCCAGGTTTGTCTCTGTTGCTGCCAAGGGCGGGATTTCAGTCTTATGTAGCTACCATTGTTGGTCACGATTCACTAGGTCTGTGTCCAGAATCAGATCAAAGGCATTCTTGACAAGGGCTAAATGTCATGCACCTTTGCCATCCTCAAAATGTGTCATGTCTGCTTTAGTGAGCGGCCTCTGCTGGGGCTGCGGGTACAAGCTGAGCAGCCCTCGTGGTGGCAATGAAGATGGCCGTGTGGTTGGTGATGATGCCGGTGGTAACGCAGGATGGAAATGCCCACTATAGCATGGGAGGCATAAGGAGGACTCTGGGAGAGCAGCACTCCTGGCTTACCTGCTGTGGAGCCGTGCCGTTGGACAGGATGTCTAACAGATCTGAAGAGGAGAGAAAGTAGAACCGAGGGAAGGCCAGTCTCTTGGTGTCCAGGTACTCTGCCAGGGCCTTCTCACACAGGCACAACCTGAGGGCACAGAACACGGGATCTCCTGATTCAGATGACCAGATCCTTTACTCACACATGTAATTCCCATGCAAATATGTGTGGTGGTAGAGTAGATGCTGAAACTGGCACGAGAAACACCTATGGATATTTCCACACTATGATACATACTGAGCTATTTCAACCAGTATGGATACATTGAGGCTGTCAAGACCTGACATAGCATACCCTTTGACACACAGGTGATACACAGATAAGCATGTAGCCTAGCAGTGGAGGGACCCTCTTGGGATGCCTGAATCTTACGTGGGAGTGACTTAAACTCCCAGTTTCTAGCTGGTGCACACTCCGCTAGTGATGGCTCAAGAAATTGGGTTCCTGCCACAGACACGGGAGACTGGGATTCAGACCCCAGCTCCTAGCTTCGTCCTGGCCCAACTCTTGTCTATCACAGACGTTTGGTGAGAGAACTAGTAGAGGGCAGCACCTGTTTGTCTCTAACTTGTTGTTTTATCCAAACACACAAAGCAAGGGACACGCGCAGACATTCGTGTGCACCCACTCTAGCAGAGAGAAATGTGGGGGAGGAAGGAAGCCTGAGGGCCTCTCAAAACATTCATGCTAAAATAGAACTAATCTTTTTGTTGTTGTTTAAAAAAGTTTAGTAATTCGTATGTAGTTTTTCCATACTGGACATGCTTCATGAATGTATTGGACAGCCCTCATGTTGCCCCTCCATCACAGACAGGACATCTAACAGACCATCCCCTGCTAAGCAACCACCCTGTGCTCTATAGTCACCCCTGGTACCCCAGGCATCACCTGCTCTGAATATCCTCCAGCTTCTCATACAGGCCAGGTTTGTTGGTTGCTTCCACTACATTTGGAGTTTTCTGAGCATCATAAGCTAACTCTTTAAAATCCAGGTCGATACTTTCAAATCTTTTAGAATCCTGCAAATAAAAACATGGATTTCGGGGGTAAGTGGAATGAACTTCACTGCCCTCAATTCCAAGGAACTCCCCTTGGGTAGCTTGTAGGCTCAGGAACCTGTTCCTGGCTCTTCCAATACTGAGATCAGGGTCAAAGGAGGAAACACCAGCAATTCTCAAACAATTGAGTCCTAGAAACTTCTCACATTAAAAGAATAAATCATCAGGGAGTCCAGAGAGGTTTGTAAGTAATAAGACATCTATCAGTATCATCTCTATCAGGGGCTAAAATTGTAGAGATTTTAAAAAAAAGAATCATCTTTATTCATTTAAAAACTAACAATAAACTCAACTTGCTAGCATATTAACAAACCTTTCAGTAATATTTATTTAAAGATTGATTTTATTTATGTGAAAAGCAGACTTATAGAGAGAATGAGAGATAGATAGATAGACAGATAGAGATAGAGAGAGAGAAGACAGAAATCTTTTACCCAGTGGTGTATTCCCCAAATGGTGGCAACAGCTGGTGGCTGGGTCAGGCTGAAGTCAGGAGCCTAGAAATCCATCCAGGTCTCCCACATGGGACAGGGACCAGGGACTTGTGCCATCCTGCACTGCTTTCCCAGGCACATTAGCAGGGAGCTGGATAAGAACTGGAGTAGCCGGGACTCTATTGGTACTCATTTGAGTTGCTGGCCTTGCAGCCCAATGTACCACAACTCCAGCTGCTCAAATAATTCGTTTTCAAAACAAAAATATGACTTTGAGAAAAAATGGCATCATTTCACTTTTCATTTTTTGCTTCAGATCTCTTTCATGCCCGACCTTCTGGAAGACTACAAGATTGATTCTCATCCATGCTTCTGAACCCAGTATACACTGGAGAACTGCACTGTACACTCAGGGGAAATGAAAAGGGAGAGCAACATCTTAGTATGAGTACTATACAAGTTTTGACCTTGAAGCCACCCTTCAAAAGTTGTAAGGGATCCCCTCACCCCAGATATAAACACACAGTTTCTAAGAGTGGCTCTAGTATCTTTGGGGTCTCATCCAAAGTTTCCAATCTCAAAGTAAATTTTTCCTAAGCATATGTAATTTTATGATATAATTTGACACCACTGTTTTCCTGAAACAAACACCAGCCTCATTGTGCTGCTGGAACGATTTGAGACACTGATACAGTTGTCCATTCGAATACACAGGTTCCACATCTGTAGATTCAGGCAACTACAAACTGACAACATTGTGCCTGTGGTCATCATTATTTCTTAAGACGTGTAAGGAAATAATCATTGACATAGAATTTACACTGCATTAGGTATTATAAGTAATCTGGATATGACTGAAAGGAAGGGGAAGTATGTGTGCAGGTTCTATGAAGGTACCATACTAAGTGACTTGATTATCCCCAAATGGTGGTCATGTGGAGGGTCCTGAAACCAATGCTCTGTGGATACTGAGGGATCTCCAGATATGCAAAGTGATTCAGGTCAACACTTGGAAACTGTATCGTTATTATTACCTAAGAACTATCCTAATGGTAAATGCTATGTGCATTGTCTTAATGAACTGCGAAGTAAGTATTGATATCTGTCCCATTACACAAGGATACATGAAGAAAGCTAGGCACTGAGAGGTGATAGCACTTGTCCCCGTGGCTGAAGCCCTGCTGTCTTTGCCTCCCCAAGAAGACGGGGGATGGGGTGGGGTGGGCAGGTGAAGTACGTTACGATGCTTCAATGAGATGGTTTGCTCCAGTGGAAAATGAAACCATATCACGTTTATGAAAGTACTGGAAATGTCTGTTATAAATGTTCAGGCCAAAAGATGTGGATAGAACTTGTCATCACAGGTGCCTGAACTGTGGTACAGCTGTTTAGGCTGTTGATTGCCATGCTGGTATCCCCCTCAAGTGATGGTTCGAGTCCCAGATGCTCCACTTACAAATCAGCTTCCTGCCAATGTTCCTGAGAAAATAGCAGAAGACGGCCTGCGTACTTGGGCCCATACAATGCGTATAGGAGACTCAAATGAAGCTCTGGCTCTTGGTTTTGGGTTGGCCCAGCACCAGCTTTTGAAGCCATTTCGGGGAGCGAACCAGAAGATAAATCCATCTCTGTCTCTCTTCAAATTCAAATAAGCAAATGAAACTTTCTTCAAAAAGAAGCTGTAATTACACTGACAGTAGTTATGTAAAAATAGGTATAGATGTGAACAAAACTGGGAAATCCTCGTTGAGTGAAAAACAGTTACTAGTTAGGATGAAAGATGGTGGATAATTGCACTATGTTTTGAGATTGTTTCTGTTGTGTTAATAAAAGCAAGCACAAGTATTTAAGTATTTTGCACACAAATCTACGGCACTGTTTAGAAGCTGATGATAATGAATATTTTAATAAAAATTCTTGCATGCCTCCTCTAAACTCTGCAAAAATTTCCACCTAGGTCCTTGCCTGCAAACAATAAAACCAGCTTTTCTTCCTTCAGCGGCATCTGAGATAAATAAAACCTGGTTTATTCAATTTGGCTTATTTGCAACTGCCATCAGGGGATCATTTTCTGTTCCTTCTTATTGTAGACATACAACCTTTAATCTGCGCTATCTGAGGTAATGTGCCTTTGTTGGGGGAGCATGCTTCTAAGTGCTGCACGACCTGTGACATTTTCGAATCCAACTAATTTGTAGGCAAGGAACTCACTGTTCTGAAGGGACACAGAGGAAGTCAGAAAAAAAATAATAATAAAGAAAACAGTTTTCAGATGAATTGGGGTCTATTGAGAGAGGGGCTGGTTAGCAGTGCGTTAATTAGAATTAGCAACAGGGGGCAATCAAACACAGAGAAGCCAATGAGCAGAACACGTGCTGAGGGGCAGCCATTGTTTGGTCTTTTAACTGAGAGGTGGTAGTTAGCGAGCTGGCACCGGCTCGCTGCTCAGCAGCAGCCCCAATTCTCTTGGAAATGAGACTCTCTTTTAGTCAATATCTTCATTTGAAGGATCTGTGGTGCAGCCCATGTAGAGCTGACCCTCCACGGCAACAGCAGTGTGCTCCACCTCCTTTCTTACATACACTTAAAAAAAAATAGACAGTTCTTTTATTTATTCCTTACTCAGCTAAAGACAAATGGCCCGGGGTACATTCTTCTTTTTTCCTCTCTTCCACTGCCTGCCTTTCAGTGGGTGGCAAGATCAGTGTTTGGGGGTTTGGGGAAGGTTGGAGCCCTGCCCAGAAGCTAAAGCCAAGCAGCCGTAAAGGAAAGCCTCTGGACGATGCAGAGGGATGGAGGGAGTTTCCTGGACTTGACAGCAGGGTTTCCTCAGCAGGTACCTGGGGTAGCTGAGCCCGGATATCTTCAGAGCCGATGAATATGCTTTCTAGGTGAGACCAGGCTCGTTGCACCTCGAACCAGAGCGAGAGGACTGCGTCAGCTGTGGACAACTTCTTCTGCCAGCCTGACACTTCCTCCAGGAAGAAAGCAATGTACTTGGATGTCATCAGGTTCTGGAGTTGGACCTGGTTATCCTCTAGAACTTCAATGAGATCCTCATCGGACCGCAGCAGGGGGACGTGGGTCCGTGGGTGGGGCTCGTACTGGAACTCCATGCCAGCCCATGTGGTCTGCAGCTCCCGGAGGGTCTTTTCCATGGCCATCTCTTTCACGGCTTTGTCCACAATGCCCCGGACCTCGTCTTCAAAGTGGTGCAGCTGGAGCTGCAGGAGGTGTGCCAGGGTGATGCTCTCGTCCATGGTGAAGCTCACACCCGTGGCCTGCATCAGCTGCCTCCAGTGCCGCTCCCGGATGGCCGGATTCTGCAGCTCAGCCACTGCCCTCAGGGAGGTCAGGGTGTTCAACACAGTGCTCTCCAGGCCTGTGAATGCGTCCCAGGCCCTGACCTCCTTGTCGAGGTTCCGGATGTGCCGGGTGAACCTTTTGCATTCCAATTCCATGGCCTCCACGTTGATGTCCTGCCACCGGGTGGTCTCCCAGGCACGGATGCTGGAGGTCACCATTCCGATGGTGTCCCAGAGCTCTTTCAGCTGGCAGACTTCCTTGCGGCACTGCCGCAGCTGCTTATAGTCAGGAACATTGACCTCGAACAGGCTAGCCGACTCAGCAATGGAGGCCATGATGGATTCCATCTGCTGGATCTCCATGTGTCTGGCATCCAGCGTCTGATGAGGGTGCAGGCTGTCAAATCTGTAAGACACGATGCACTCTCTTTGTAACTCAAGTCCATAGGATCCAATTCTCAGAATTACTAAGGCGATAGCTGCCGAAACCCTTCAAGCTCTAGCATTTTCAGCAAAGAGCAGGGCTTTTCTCGAAAACGTCTAAATCTGGGAAGAGACAAAGTCTAGAGAAGGTTGGGTGGGAGGAGTGCTAGAGGTGAGGTGAGAGGTGATAGACAGGAGCCTCTGCTTGGGTTCTTTCCTCATAGCTGAGAAGGTAACAAAAATACCACCATCTTCACCTTCCTCAACGTTCCTATCCAGGTATTGAGATGTTCTTACCCAAACCCCCTTTACACTCTTCCCTTCATTTAGCTGTTGGCTTCTATAAGACCACATAAAACCATAGAGCACTGTTGAGTCCTTGTAGAAGATGGGAAGTGGGAGCTGCTGACAGGAAACCAGTGGTAGACAAGTTTTCTTGCATGTGCAACCCTGATCCATCCTGACATTCCTCCTTCTAATGCAATGTTCTCTCAAACTTGGCTGCTGGTTAGAGTCTTCCAAATGCTCTTTAAAAAAACCTGCTAAGAGCTCACATAGTGCCACTCTAGATTAAGTTGCTGTCTATGATGCCAACATCCCACAAGTTTGCTGATTCCACTCCTGGATGTTCCACTTTAGATCCAGTTCTGTGCTAAAGCTACCATGAAAGCAAAATCTTTAGGTTCCTGTACCCACATGGGAGTCCCAGATGGAGTTCCAGACTGCTGCCTTTGGCCTGGCCCAGTTCCAGCCACTTGGAGAGTAAACCAGCAGCTGGAAGATGTGTGTGTGTGTGTGTGTGTGTGTGTGTGTGTGTGTGTGTGTGTGTCCTTCTCGCCATAGTTCCCCACGCCCAGACTACTCAGACCAATTAAATCAGAGTCACTGGTGGGGTAGGGGCCAGACAGCAGTGTCTTTCACATTCTCCCAGTAATTCCTGCAGGTCAAGGTCATGTCCTTGACCATAGTGAGGCTCACATTGCTGGCCTATATCAGCATCACACATCATTACCCTGAGTGGGAGAACCTCTCTCAGCGACCCTGAAGACTCAGTGTAAAGTGCTTACTAAGCAGGTGAGCGGGGAACATCAGGACTGCAGAATATTTAAAATGCCCCAAATCATTTGGTCTGGTCCTGCCTAAGGCAACTGCAGGCAGAACTTGAAATTCAATAACTCTACCTCTGGATAATTTTTAAGCTGATAATTTTTCATGATCTGTGAATGATGTAAGAACTCTCCAAATTGGCCTTCACAATTCCTATCCAAATTCCCCAGCCCTGGTGGTGGTGGTCCCCTTTCCTTTGTTGTGAACCTCAAGCCAGGTTCCTCCTCTTCCAAACTGCCCCCAGTGATCTCCTTCTAGTGGCTTGTCCCCACTCTCTGGGCTGCTCCCTTCTGCATCGTGCAGCTGGGACAACATCTGGCTCTGTACCGGCTCAAGCAGGCACTGTGTCTCACTTGACACTTGGTGTGCACATTTCTGCACCCTCTTCCTCCAGGGCTTCAGGCACATATCCAATCCCCTGGCTCTGGATCCTCCTGCCAGCCCAATGTGCTCCTGCTACCCCAGCAGGCGTGCATTCCTGTCAAGAGTCTGCCCGTGTTAGAACCCTGTGTTCAAAGGAAGCCACACACAGTCAGACAATGCTGCTTTGGTGGGGAGCACTCCTAACCCAAACGTTTAAGGAACCTCTCTCATTTCCTTCTTTAATTTCCCTTGAATCTCTGTAACCCCCAATTCAGGTTTCCTTGTCTTGCTGTGCCTGGAGGGCTAGATCTTGGGACTGCCATGACCTCAAGGGGTAGGCTCTCCTGAATCAGAACAGGGCATGCCAGGGCTCATCATTAAGGGGAAAGTGGAGAGAAAATGAGTGTTCAGAGAATGAGCCATTTCCTCCTGTTTATTACTTGAGGTCATTTCCGAAGCTTGTGGGAAATGGAAGCAAAAGATGTGCTTATTTTTGGAGCAAGAATTTTTGCAATCTGTCTGTGTAAGAGGTCTTCAAGAAGTTCATACGAATGTGTACTACAAAAAGGAAAACTATGTAATGTTTTTAGCTCCAATATAAGCATGGTTTCATACCCCATTTCCACAAACTTTTTGAAGTACCCTCTTTTGTGTGTGTTTCTATTTGTGGGCGCACATGGCTGTGTGCATGTGGGTTGGGGGGAGCTGCAGAGAGGAAGGGAGTTCTTTTCTTGACCTGCCCCTCTTCTTCACTTGCCTTTAGAAAATCTGATGTGATGGATGGATTTAATCCTAATGAAAGTCATTTGCCTCAACTTCTTACCACTTACGCCTGATTGCCATGCAACACAATATCAGCTATGCATACTATTAAATTAAAGTCAGATTAACTTTGATGCTTGTTATGTTTGATTCCTTCTTGTTCCATCCAAATCACTTTTGGCTCAAGGGCTTTTGTTGTAGATTTTGTATCTGTGTGTGTTTTTTTTAAAATTTATTTATTTGAAATCTAGGGTTACAAAGAGACGGAGAGGAAGAGAGAGATCTTTATCTTCTGGTTTATTTCCCAAATGGTTGCAACAGCTAGAGCTGGACTAGGCCCAAGTCAGGAGCCTGGAACTCTATTCAGGTCCCCTATATGGATGTCAGGGGTACAAGCACTGAAGCAAACTGCTATTGCACCATCAGGGTCATTATCAAGGAGCTGGTTTGGAAGTGGAGAGGTCACGACTAAAACCAGCACTCATGTGGGATGTTGGCATGGCGCGCAGTGGCTTAAGCTGGGCACCACAATTTCAGCCCTGCAGATTTGGATCTTAAGAGAATGTCTGAACACCACTTGCCTGTCTGTGCTGTTCCTCAGCCTCTAGGTATTTCGCAAGAGAACAGAAGGTTGGAATTAGAGAGATAGAGAGAGCCCTCTGTCTACAGCCAAGAACATTCTCCTTTATGGGTGATTTTTTTTAATGGACTAGAAACAAATAAACAATAACATCATCTAGGCCAGTGGCCCAGCACAGAAGATCACGAAGCATGAGTGGTTTTCTGGCTGTTCACTTGCTCAGACTAAGTGCTGGTGTATGCAGGTTTTGCTTTATGAACCTACACTTAGCCTTTCTGTGTTCATCTAAGATCTATAAAGTTCCAGATGAATTCTGTTTAATTTATTAATGGAGTATGACTCAGAAGTAACTGATTAGAAGTGAGCAATTGCAGAATTCGGTTATACACAAAAGGTAATAAATGCTTGCTCACCGTTCTTCCCTCAGCATATGTGAGCATCCTTAAATCAATGCTGGCTCCTCAAATATTTGTAAGAAGCAAATATTTGTCAAACCTATTCCAAATTCAATCCACCCTGTGGCATAATTTTTATGTATAGTTTAAATTTGTGGACAGCCATTTCCTGTAGTTGAGCACGCATTAAAAAAACTAATTTGGCCTAAGTTGTGGAAGTAACCTCTAGACGTGAAGACAGGTAGCCTCCTAACATTTCAAATCTCTAGTGCAAATTGTCAGAGTACTCAGAGGCCTGATTCATGCGCCTAATAAACTTGAAGCCATTCTCCAGATCTTGGGGGAATGATACAGTGTAAGAACAAGAATGTAATTGGAGGCAAAAGGGTGGGCGAAGTCTGTGAGATTGAAACAATAATGCAGACTTTTTTTTTTCATCTAAAAGAGAAACGTCTGGAAGGCTTGGATAAAATGAAAGTATAGTGGAGACCAGTATTGTGGGGTAGCCTGTCATATGGACACGATGTGAAACCTGGCTGATGCACTGCCAACATAGCTCCCTACTTAATGTACCACAAAAAATGGTAAAAGAGGGTGCAAACGCTTGGGACCCAGACATCCATGTGAGAGACCCCAATGGAATTCAAGGCTTTGGCCTGCTCTGCTCTAACTGTTCCAGTCATTTGGGGAATGAAACAGCAGGTGGAAAATGTCTTTCTCTTTCTCTCTCGCTCTCTCCCTTACTCTCTCTGTAACTACGTCTTTCAAATAAATAAAAATAAATCTTAAAAACTACAATGAAGAGAAATGAAAATACCATGTTTGTGTGTGTAATATGTTAGAAAAAAGGCTTGATTCTTGCTTGATTCAGACATTAACATAGAGACAGTGAAGAGTAAATGATTCCAGTTGTTCTTTCAAAGCTAGATACTGGTCAGTGTTAACCCCTATGCCACATTTGCATAAATGGTGAATGATGGCACACTCCTTGATACCCACGTATGTCACAAAACACAAGGTGTCCAACTCTGAACTTGGGATCCCCAATCCTTCAGGTTCTGGGCCTGCCCATCTCATTGGGCAGTGGAATTACCGTCTACCTGCTTGCCAGCAGATGGTCTCTGTCTCCCCATTGCTCATATTTCATCAGTCCTGCTGATTCTTGTCTCCTAAATCTCTCCCAAATCCATTTATTTTTTTTTTCTCTGCTACTGCTTCAGTTTGGGCCCTACCACTACTCATCTGAGCTGTGGTGGCCACTCTTATTGAATACCTAGTCTTGAGACTGTCTGGCTCCATTTTGCTTTCCATAGCCACTAGAAGGTATGGTTCAGATTACAGATGATGGTTCAACTTGTGCCTCCTCCCTCCCCCGTTTTTTACCTGTATGATGATATGAAAGGAATGAACATTAGGAAGTTTGAATTTGTGCCTTTCCCCAGGCTAGCAATCTGTAGTTTGATCCTTTCTTGTGGTGCTGCATGGAGGCAGCAAACACAGGCTCCATCCAGGCCCACAGTCAGGGGACAAACAACCTATCCTTTAGAGTTTGGTGAGTTTCTAAGCCAGGAAATTCAATAGCTTAGGTGTGTCAATCACATTTTTCACGTACAGCAATTGTAGCTTAGATTGCTTGTTGGTGCATAATTGCATCGTAAGTTGAGGATTATCTCTAAGTTGGTCTCACACATCAATTTCCCTGTGGCTCAACACCAGAACATCTGGACATCTCATTCTCATCTCCCGCTCCCTGCATCCCAGACACACCTACCTACTGCTACTCTTCAGCATGTTTCTCACTCTGCCTTCCTTTGGGCTATGTGTTGCTTCCTTGCCCAGAAAACATTTTTCTTACCACTCATCCCCTATGGGGGGTCCAAAACTGATTGTATTTACCATTGGCTCAATCATCATTTTCTATGGGAGTATGTAAAATACATCCTTAGTGGGGTTTAAGATAGCAACCAGGGTTCATATCTTGCTGCTAATTTCTGACACTGTTCCTAGCTTTCTATCAGTCCTCGTGTTTTGGGGATGTGTATCATCTCAATATTCTAACATCGACCTCAGGTTATATTCTCTTTAATCTTGAGACCACACTGGAAGCCTAGATCAAGTGAATGATTCAGATCAACTGCTAGAACAAGGTCAAGATGAATAAATGACATGTCTTAAGCTATTGATATGATCCCTGGAGACAAAATGACTAACGTCTCTCTTTTCTCCAATTGTTAAAAAGACAACTGGCACCATGGAAGTAATACTAAACCCTTATGTTCTCATGCATGTGTCCTATAGGGGAGCACCTGATGGGAAAGTGCCTTCCAGAAGAGGCTTCCAGATACTCAGAAATCTACATTGCCATCTTAAGAACATTAGTGAACTTCACTGAGCTAGAGCTCACAGGGCTAGCTTGTCGTACTTCCAAAAACAGCCTGCCTTGGTCTTGTTGTGGGTAATAAGCCTGTATATCCTAATATCATGGTTCAAGGTCATGTGCATTAGGGCAGGAAGACCAAAGAAGAAAAGGCTGCCAGAAATGTGGAGAGTTCTTTTCACTTAAGTGGAGAGAAATAGTTGCTAGTTTTAGGGGATGTGAAAATTTTGAATCATGGTATGGTGATACAACCAGTTATTGTGGTGTGTGAGCACTCCTCTAGGAATATTGCTGATGTAATCTGGAATTAAGAACCAAAGAAGGGGTAAGAATGATAAGCTCAGCAGTTAAGACACCAGCATCCCAAATCTGGGTTGCTGGCTTCAATCCTTAGCCCTGGTTTCTGACTCCAGGTTCCTGCCAATAAAACTCTGGGAGGCAGTAGACGATACCTGGTTTCCTGTCATCCATATGTGAAACCCTAACAAGTTTCTGAGTGCTGCCTCTGATCTTGGTCCAGCTTTGGTCGTTGTGGGCTTTTGGAGAGTGAACCAGCAAAAGGGATATTTTTTTTCCTCCCTCTCTGCTTAAATAAATACATAGCAACTAATTATAAAAAAGAACCAAAAGAGGATATAAAATGTAGCTTGGACGTGGAAAAGGAACCTGAACCCAAGTGATCAGAGTTCACAAAGTCCCTGCTGAAGGGCAAGGTCCTAGAGACACATTCATTTGCTTTTCCTTCATCAGCGACAAGAAGATGAGAAGCTGAGCTTAACCTGTGTGATGCAATCAGGAGCAGAAACTTGTGTTCACAGAGGAGCACTATCAGGGTTTGCAATTTAGAAATTCATAGATGATTTAAAAGGGAAGGAATTGGAATTAAAGTCATTTGTCACATACAACACCTCAAAACTGTAAAAATGCACAAAAACCAAACTAAGCAACAAAACACATGGGTTGACACCCGTTAAGATCCCCTTCTGCAAGAAATCTATAATTCTGCTCGAGTCTCTTGACAAGAAGAGAAATATATCAAAATTGCAGTAACATTTGGTTTCCCACACTGCTGTGAGCAGTTCTTTTGAACACATTCTCTTCGGAAGATTCATCTGCATGTCAAATCAGCAGATGTGAATTTGGAAAACCCAGCTTTTAAGAGTAACTGTATCCTCACAGCCACCAGATACGGGTGCTAAGAAAGAAAAAAACGAATGCAGCTATCAAATGAAAATAAAACTAAACTAAAAAAAAAAAAAGAAAGAAAGAAAGAAACGCAGCAGCTGATCAACATCCACACAGTGTTACAATGAACGAAACACGCCACATCCCTCACGGACACACAAAAGCACATTGGCATTCTTTTCTTTCTGGGAAGGCGGTCTCAGAGATCTCTTTTGGGAAGATATTTTTTTTAAGCATCTTCTTTGGAAATCTTCTCGTGAGACAGTTGATGCCAACGTATTAGTGTTCCAGGAAATGGAAATGCGAATTATGCTAATTGTCTGATTTGATCCGGATGTGCCGCTTGCTTGTGTAGAAGTGTTGTTCTGTGCCCCATTAATGATGTGCAAGTACTATGTGTTCGTCAAAATTTAAAGAAAATTAAATCATAAAGAAAATGAAAATTTCACAATGAAAGAGGAAGACAGAGCAGCGTCGTTTATGCCTGTTACCTTTGGTGTGGTTATTAAAACTGAGTAATGGCACTAAGAGTTAGAAGCCATTTTCCTCGCCAGCTTTGGCCTTGCATGAGCATGTGTTCAATTTCACAAATTCAATTCTATATGCAGAGAGACGTCAAAGGAGTAAGCCTTAGCCTGGGAAAGAATAGCCCCCAGAGGAGTCCCACATGTTTTGAGCAATAGATATTTCTTGGGAACAAGGGCCTGGCCCCTGTGGCAATTATTCTAAAGGGATATAGACTCATTTGGAACTACATGCCCTGGCAGGATTGCTTAAAAGGAAGCAATTATTTCCCTTTAGGGTGGCAGTTCTCCAATTTAGCTGCACATTGTAATCACCCCGGCAGCCTTACAAACTAACACATGGATCTCGCTTCCAGAAACTGTAGCTTAGTTGGCTGGCAGGGCACACTGGGCAGTGAGGGTTTTGATGCTAATGTGTAGCCAAAAGAGCAGGATATTGTTGGAGCATCACATTCCCTGTGTCTTGTACCTTAAGTTGTCCCCTGCCTCTTAATGCACTTGCTTTGCTCCTTCCAGCTCCGAGAATGGTGCTGGGGAAGTCATAACTACTTTACAAATGTTTGACGAATTAATGGTAAGAATGGCCTTTACAGAAGGTAGAGAAAAGGAAGGGATGGGAAGGGACTAACGGGTTCCATATCATAGCCAGACGGGAGGAGAGAGCTCTGGTGTTACTATTACCTAGAAGGGTTGGTACAGCTAGCAAAAGCCGTATGTATAATTCCAAATAAGCAGAAGAGAAGACTTTTAGTTTTCTCCTCAGAAAGAATTAGAACTGTTGGAAATGGTGGATAACAGAAATTTCCTGATTCACTATATATACGGATTGAAAGAACTCTCTATGTCCCATAAACAATTTTATTATCTGTCAAAGAAAAACATTTAAAGATTCTAGAACTTGATGGTGTGTCAGGTTGGGTGACCAACCAACCAAGCTGGCCTGGAACAGAGGGGTTTTCCAGACATGACAATTTCAATGCTAAAATCAGAACAGTCAGTGGTGAAAACCAGGAAGGTTGGTCACCATATTGCAGAACACATATAGCTAAAAGCTTTCTAGAATGATCTCTTTAGTCCTGAACACAATTCTATGAAGTGAATGCTAACCACACCTGCACATAACTGATGAGAAACCCGAAGCGAAAGGCACCAAGTCACTGGCCATGTCACAAGTAGTGAGGAGTAGACTCCATGGCAGTTTCCAGGGAGCCTGGATTCAGAGTCCAAGTACTGAATCGTTTGATTTAGGAGAGCTTCAAGCTATGGAAATGTGGAATTAATAGTACTCGGTTTCAAATTTTTTTTGAAAACCATGGATACATTTTTTTATAATATATATTTCCCATGAACTTTTTGGAAATTGCTTATGCTTCCTTTCTAATAGTTGCGATTTCTTTTTGAAAATTGATTTGTTATTTTCCTAATCCTGCTGGTAAGTAACTTCTCAAAATGAAAAAGTTCGTTACTCTTTACATAGAGCAAATTTCCAGTTTGGAAATTTCCAAGTCTGTCTAAGCAAAGCCAAAGAAGACAAAAGCCAGAAACTCAATGCAGGGGAACAGAAAACCCCTCACGGAAATGGAGGGATGGGAGGGGACTTGATGTGGCTGGTCCACGGGTAGACAAGGGACTGACTGCTGGCTCAGATCTCCTGAAGCTGACCAACGCTCTGGTAGCAAACCCCTGTTTGGTGGCTGCACCAGGAAGGAAACCTCTGAGAGTGAAACCCTGATGTGTGTTCAGTGGAGTTCATGTGAGTGGCACTTTCTATTCTACCCTGGCTCTGCTTGTATGCAGACCCATACTAACAAGTACAGCAGTGCCTACCTATTGTAGTGCCAAGAGAAAACTCCCTGAAGCAAGCCTTCAACTAAATCCTTCCTTTTGGCTACCAGAACACCTTCTCAAATAATTTAAGAAGTCTATCAGGCATTCTATAAAGCCAAAAGCAGAGAAGTCTGGGAAGACTCAGAACACTTTTCTTTAACCATATACATACTTGGACATACAAGAAGATCCTTGATTTTTTTTTTAAGGCCATGAGTTTGGCAGTGTTTGTACAGTCATCTCACATAGGTCATGGTAAGACTCTGCCTGCGTTGGTATAACATACCAACCAAAGGACCTGCACGGAAGGGAAGGCTCTCACTTAGTCTTCCTCTGCTGAAGACTTAACACCAACTCAGCAGGAAGGTCAACAGTGACTCAGGGATGGCAAAGTCTCCAACAAGTGAGAAAGCAGAGGTGGCTTTGGTCCTTACCTGAAGGGGGCTTCTTTGCGGAATCGCTCCCAGAAGCGCTGCTGTTCAGAGTCAAAGGCTGTGCATTTCTGGCGGAGGACGGCCACTTCATTCGCCTGCAGTGGGGCCACCTGCTGCCGCACAGTGATGGCCATCTTTTTTATGTTGTTCCATTTCTCAGGCAGCTCCTGCAAGAGAAAACGTCCTTGTGGTCAGCCCCACACAATGCTCCCGCTTCACCGTGATCCTGAAGCTGGGCCGACTCCACATGCTTTTATGACATACCTGAGGGTCACACCGAGATATGATGGTATCATTTACTCACACTCTAGACTTCTCCCCACCCCACTCTTCTTTGACCTGCCTCCCTGGTTTCCTAGTCTCTCAAGCATCATCTAAATTCAATCCACACTGTCCTGATTCTGAACCTCTAGCCAGGAGCATTGTGGCTCATACCCCACACTTTCCTCTTACCCATCCTATCCCTCAGACCTAATTTTCTTCCTCTGAATTGAAAACTGGGTTCATTTGTGATTCTGAGTGGTGGGGAAGCCTCCTTCCTGTTTAATTCTCTCCTATATCTCTATCATAACAAATAACTGAGTTTCCAGAATGTACTAGATATCACACATATGTCATGTGCTACAGTTCCAAAAACATAGACCCTGGCTAAACACCAAGCCCTCTTTGTGATTTTTTTCAGTTATCTCACCCCACCCCGAAATCCTAAGACTTCAACCTCTTTTTATAAGAAATCCATAAATGCACTGACCTCTAGCTGGCTAAACACCGTTTCTGGCAATTCTTGCTCGTAGGTCTTCAGCAATTCGATAGTTTGCTTTAGGGGCTCAAACATTTCATCAGTGCCACTCTGCCGTTCTTTAACAGCCACAAGGTGGCCCATAATCTCAACCAGCCCTTGGAAATCTCCTTTTTCGACTTTCTTGAGCAAGCCACTTTCACTATTTGTTATGAACTCTTCAAGGTCGGCCAAGCTGATCAACATAAAGAGAACTTGAGTCATTTCCCTTTCATGTTTCAAAAGCAGTATTTCTTTTCTTCTTGAACAATCATGGCTATTAGCATGCAAAGCTTCCCAGGTCTGCTGTGCATTCTGTAGATGCTAATTCCTGATGTTAGGAATATGGCCTTTCTGGGGTGGGTGCTTGACTCATTTTGCAATGCCCACGTGCCATATGGGTGTGCCTAGCTTGCCTAGCTTCCAGATCCAGTCGTGCTTTTGATTCCAGCTTCCTACTAATGCATACTATGCCAGGTGGCACTTGATAGCTCAAGTAATTTGGTCTCTGCCGCTAACACAGGAGACTTTGGTTGAGTTCCTGACCCCTAGGCATTTGGGAAGAAAAACAGCAGATGGGATTTCTCTCTCTCTATCTCCCCCTCAAATAAAGTTAATTTTAAGTAAGATAATATGTCATTTTCCATAAGTGCAAGGTCAGGGTGGGAGACAAAGACTGAGACTCATCCTGTGGAGGAGCCTCGGCTGGCACAGCAGCTCAAGTGTGATCTGAGGTAGGATCCTGAACCAGAGAAAGAACCTGAGTGGCATAACTGTTGGCACTGGAATAGGTCTATAGATAGCTGCTCATTGTGCATAAATATTAACACCCTGGTTTCACTTACATGAAGGGTAAAAGGAAACTGCTGTTTTTGCAGGTTTAAAATTTAAGTCTGAGATTATGTCAAAGTTCAAAGTAAGAAAAAAACCACTATGGTCTCTAGAGTCAGACACGTTTGGGTTTGATTTTGATACTTGTTTTTACATTTTATATTATTCATTGGAAAGACAGACAGACCAGACAGACAGAGCAGGTAGACAGAGATCAAGTTCAAAGTAAGAAAAAAACTATGGTCTCTAAAGTCAGATACATGTGGGTTTGATTTTGATGCTTGTTTTCACATTTTGTGTTATTCAAGAGACCAGCACATTGAGAGCCGGATAGAGAGTATGTGTGGATTTACTTCCTTGGTGCCTGCTCTAGCTGAGATGGACAGGCTCAAGCTAGCAATCAGCTGGGCTCTCCCATGTGAATGGCATGGACCCTACTCCTTCAGCTATTACTTGCTACTTCTTAGTGTTAGTATTAGCAGGGACCTAGAATCCCAAGCACTTCAAGATAGCTTGTGGGTCCCCCAGTGACATCTTAACCACTGTACCAAATGTCGCTCCTGATTTGGGCAATTCAGTAAGTATGTGACCAGGCCCAGGTCATCCAACATCTCTGAGCCTAAATTTCTTTACCCAGAAGACTAGAAAAAAAGTATTTCTTATTATTTGCCGAGAGTTAAATGAAACTCATTCCCCACTTTAACAAATATTCACTGAATCGCCATAATAAACCCTAACACGCTTCCCATTCCTGAGATACAATGATAAGTAAGAGAAACAGATTCCAACCTTATGAAGGAGACATCCTGGTAGCAAAAAAATAAACGGAAATAATTCAATGAAACGAATTTTGTAGTTTCCACACAATAACGGTTTCTAATGGAAAAAGCAAAGATAAGGAGGAAAGCACTAAAGACAGAAAGGGCTATTTTCTAGGAAATGGTCAGATAGGGCCCTTCTGTGGAGGCGAACCTGAAAGGAAAAGTAAATCATGCAAGGGAAGGAGCCATAGAAAGAAATGGGAGAATAATCCCAGTGGAGGAGTGCCACGTGCGAAGGCATTGGGATTGGATGAGGTTGGGTTTATTCAAGGAAAAGAGAAAAGTCAGAAAAGGCAAAAGCCTGAGGGGTAGGGTTGGCACAGTGGCACAGGAGCTTAAGCAATAGCTGCAATGCCAGCATCCCATATGAGCACTGATTAGATTTTCTGTCCCTTGCTAATGTACCTGAAAGAGCAGAACAGATGACCCAAGTATGTGGGCCCAGCCAATCATGTGGGAGCCCCAGATGGAGTTACAAACCCTTGGTTTCAGCCTGGTTCAGCCTAGTCTCTGCAGTCATTTGAGCAGTGCATCAGTGGGTGGAAGGGTGAGCTCTCTCTCCCAGCACTCTGCCTTTCGAGAGAATAAAAGTAATTTTTTTTTTAAAGACATGAGGGATATAGGAGGAAGAGAATCAGTGAGGGTCAGTAATATAGGGTCTTACTGGCTGTAATGAGAAGTCCAGATTTTATTTAAAGTGTGAGAATTCTGAGTAGGAAAGGCACAATTGATTTACTTACTAAAAAATTTTCTGTAGCTGGAGGAGAACAGATTTTAGCTGGAAAGTAATTTTGCTACATATGATTGGATTAGTTATCAATATTTTATTATATTAATTATTAGGGAGTCAGCAATGAAAGCCAGGAGGACAGCAATGGACTGTTGGGGCTGTCCAGGAAGTTTTCAGCTTCAACTTAAGACAGTTGGTGTGAGAACTGATCAGAATTCAGAAAGTCCAGCAAAATCACACAGATAATTTATATCAAACTACACATTTTTAGCAGGAAAAACATGTTGAAATAAGCTTCAGTGTAAAGCCAGACTTTTGCCCAAACAAAATAAAACCATGGAACAATTAGATTGATGATTGATTATACTACAGCACAAATGGAAGCCAGGACAGAGTAAAATAATAGAATAATCTTTTCAATATTCCAAGGAAGATTATATTATTTTGTAAATTTTTTTTCTTCTCCAAAACTATTTTTTTTTTCAAGAATAAGGCAAAATAGTTAGATTTAAGAGAAAAAAAAAGAAAGAATAACAAATTTCCATCAGTAGATCTTATCTAAATGTACTTCCAAGGGGTGCACCCAGGTGGCAGGTGTATAACACAGAAATATTCAAAGAGTAAAGATACTCGTAAAGATGTTGATAAATCCAAGTATTGTTGTATAGACAGATATACAAATAAAGCATCAGAGCAATCTAAGTGACAAGGAATTGTAGGATATAACCTGATGATAAAACATTTTTGTATGGACTGTGAAGAGAGCAGGAATGTTAAAGAAAATTTTATTTGTTTTAAGGGCACTTATTGAAACAGAGCGGCATAGCACAGCACTGAAACAACAGAGGGAAAATGGAAAAAGGAAAAATGAAACAAAACAATGCAAGTAAATAACAAACGAAGAAAGGAGAAAGAAAAAGAGTAAATGGAAAGCATATAAATATGGCAGAATTAAATTCAAATATATCATGACAAGCGTTAATCAACAAAGCCCTCCAGTTAAGGAATAAATGCTGTTAAAGTACATTAAAAACTCAGTTATATATCAATTACAAAAATCCATCTTTATACAAAAACACAGCAAGGTGAAAGGCAAAGAATAAAAGGAAATAAACCAGGCAAAAATCATACAAAGAAACTGAGGTTAGCTGTGTTAACATCAGACAAGCCAGTCTTGACTGCAAGAAACATGGCTATTGACAAACAGGATCTTGAATGTTTGGTTAAAAGGTTCAATTTTCCAGGAAGATATGAAAAACAAACAACAACAACAAAACCCAGGGCTTGGCGGTGTGGCCTAGCGGCTAAAGTCCTTGCCTTCAACATGCCGGGATCCCATATGGGCGCCGGTTCTAATCCCAGCAGCTCTACTTCCTTTCCAGCTCCCTGCTTGTGGCCTGGGAAAGCAGTCGAGGACAGTCCAAAGCTTTGGGACCCTGCACCCATGTGGGATACCCAGAAGAAGTTCCTGGATCCTGGCTTCGGATCGGCATAGCATCAGCCGTTGCGCTCACTTGGGGAGTGAATCATCAGACAGAAGATCTTCCTCTCTGTCTCTTGTCCTTTCTGTATATCTGACTTATATCTGACTTTCTAATAAATAAATAAATCTTTAAGGAAAAAAAAAAAACACCACCAACAACAACAAAAAGCCCTGCACACTTCTGTACGGTAAGCTCAAAATATGTGACACAAAAAATGCCAGAATTATAAGAAGAAACTGATAATATGCCATTCAAGCAGAAGGCTTTTAACATGATTATCTCAATAATTGATAAGCAGAAATTTAAAAGGCAGAGAGGAAGCAGTAGGTTTGCACAGAACCATTCACAAGCTTGATTACACAGGCGGCCACAGAACACTGCATCCAGCAGTCAGAGAATGCATATGCTTTCCCAATGTACGTAGCATACTTACAGAAACAGACTACACTACAGTTTACAAAGCAAAGTGCTACAACGTGTAAAGCTTTTTCTGACCACAAAGCCATTTAAGTCAGAAAACTAACAACAAAAGTCTAATTAGACAAATGCCATGTTTGGAAATTTAAAACATCTAAAGTCATTATAATAAATATTAAATCTAGGCAGAACTACAATGAAAATACTTACTGAAACATGTGAGAGGTAGGTAAAGTTATGATTAGAATTTGTAACTTTAAATATTAGCATTCAAAAGGAGAGAGCCCAGAATTAACAAAGAAAGCCTCCATTTTTAAGTTTGTTAAAGAGCAGAAAATAAATCCCACCAAAGTAGTAAAAGGAAACATTAAATCCAAAAGACTAAATCAAAATAAAAATCAAGGCATGATGAATAGAATCAAAGAGTTCATAAAATAGTTCTTTGTAAATCTCCTCAAGATTAATTAAGACAGGAAGCCAGAGTAGGAAAAAAAAAAAAAGAGTAAGAACAAAATGAGAGACATACGCCGTGTTCACAGAGATAAAACAGGTACAAGGAAAGCATACATTCTGTAGCAAAAATGTGATTTACACAACATGGATAAATTCCTAGAAAATACAGCTTTACTGGAAGTGACTTACTAAGGAGCATAAAAAAAAATCTTGATATTCCTATAACCACAAAAGAAATGATAAGTTACAATTGTCTCCCAAAGAAAATTCCAAACCCAGGTGGCCCAACAGGAGAGTTAAATCAAATTTTCAAGGCTCAGAGAATCCTAATATTATGCCAACTCTTCCAGAGCATAAAGATTACTTCCCAACTTGTTTTTTATGAAGCTAGCAAAAAATACAAAGCTAAAATCAGACAGTAACCCTATTAAAATTGAGGGCCATTCTCAACCATAAACACAAGAATGTCAAACTCTGATCTATGACCAAAATGAACCATTGGATAAACTGGAAGAGATGAGACCCTGTGTTGAGTTTTAATCTCAGCAACACCAAGGTCGTTAAAAATTAGCAATAAGGTAATATAGTCACCACTTTAAAATTTGAAGGGGATAAGCAGAATTCTCTTAAAGGACTTCGAGAAAGCACTTGATACAATTTAATGGCTATTTATGTTACTCTTATTAAATTAGCACTAAAAGGAAATTTCTGTAATCAGATGAAGAGGATACACACACCCCTCATAACTAATTCGACATTCAGCAGTGAAATGCTGAAAGTATCCCTTTTCGGTTCAAGGATCAGACGAGGATGTCTGTTGTCACCACTTGGGATCAATATTATCCTGGAGGTCCTAGCCAGCGGAAGGTCAGCGTGGATTGTACGTTCATGAATTTAATGTGAGACTAGGTCAGAAGGTTGGCCTGTCTCGGCTCTATCTAAGATGCATCACTCAGGCACAAGTGTGGAGTAGTGAGTTTCAGGAGAGTTAGGGTTTTATAGAGTGGGAAATCAGGGGTGGGGAGCAAGGAAGATAGACACTGAAAAGCAATGGAGTCAATGGCCTGGGAATCCTGATGGATGTGAAGAATTCTACACAGCGGGGTTGCCAAGCACATGAAGTGGAGAGATACCAGGTAGTACTCAGCAAATGCAATGCTTACACCTGCACTTCCAAAGGGAGGCCAGGCATGGGGTGCATGGTGTAGCAGTTAGGTTTCTGCTTGAGATACCTGCAGAACGTCTCCTTTCAAGACTCCAGCTTCCTGCTGATGTGCACCCTAGGAGGCAGCAGGTGATGAGTCAAGTACTTGAGTGCCTGTCACCCATGTGGGACACCGGTATTGAGTTCTTGGCTTTGGCCCAACCCAACCCTGGCAATTGAACGCATTTGGGAGCAGGGGACAAACAAGTGGTTGTGAGGTTTGTCTCTGTTTCTCAGCCTTTCAAATAAGGTATAAGAAAGAGAAGAAAAATTATCTCCCCATCTTTCCCTCTGCCCCATCAAAAGTACAACCCAGAAGGAGGCAGCAGAGATTAAGAGCATTGGCTTGAGGAAGCCAACAAAGACAGGGACAGGTGTGAAGTATGAAGGAGACTCTGTAGGTGTAAGGCCACTGGGGGTGACCATCAGCAGAACAGAGAGGATGAAAGACTGAACCCCACGATGAGATCCTCCAGAGTTGGACAGAGAACTGTAGCCAGGAGGAGTGTCAGGTGGAGCAGTCCCATAGCATTTGCTTCTACAGAGGTGACGAAATGGACTGGTAGGAGCACTGAAGGGCAAGGACATCCTTCCCATGTGCAGACTCAAAAGGTCAGTGAGAGAAGGAGAAAAATCAGCCTCCACATGTGTATGCTTAAGGGGAAGCAGTGTCCCTAGGGGAGAGACGGGTCTCAGCAGAAACAGGTGACGAGAGAAAAATGAGGGGAACACGGAACATTCACTGATGAAAGATTTGGGGAGTGGGATGGGGTACACTGGGTAAGATGTTGGTTCAGACACCTACAGTCCTTATCAGAGTGCCTGAGTTCGAGTTCTAATGTCCCTTCCCATCTCAGCTTCCGGTGAATGTACACCCTGGCAGGTAGCAAGTGATGGCTCACGGGATAGAATGCCTGCACTCCTGTGGGAGACCTGAATGGAACTGCCAGTTTTCCAGTTCATTCTAGGCCAGTCCTGATTATCTTGGGCAAATGGGGCGTGAGCCAGTGAATAAGAGATCTCTTGCTTTCAGATAAACAAAATTCATATTCAAGGTTGTTTTTTTCTTTTTTAATAAGAGATTCCCAGGTCTAGTCGCTGGTCCCAGGTGTGGCTTGACAAGACTGAGTATAAGTCGAATCAGATATTAGGGCAGAAAGAGCTGAATGGAGATACAGGTGTCAGTGCTGAAAGCTGACTTTGTTTCCGACAGGGAGAGAAGTACATAAGACACAAGGTAAGGTGGGATTAACCCTGACCGATTAAGGGAAGATGGAGATCACATAATCACATGGCCTGTAGTAGATGCTCAGTAAAATGCATCTATCTTATCTAATTGTCAAGAACACACATGACACATTCCCCTCAAGTGCGGTGAAGGAGACAATCCAGAAGGTGCCTCGGAAGTGTCTGGTGGTACTTTCTTTTTTTTCAGAGATGAGAGAATTGGGGTTCATGAACAAGAGCTCAGGCCCACTGACTGTTCTACTGCACGTGATGCCATTAAACCCACTTTGCAGGGTTCTGGAATCCAACCTGCTTCATATCCATGGCAGCTGCTCTCACCAGGGACCTCTCTGTCCTTCCAGACCAATTCCTTTACATGCCAACGACTGCTCTGCAAGCACACAGCATCCATCCTGTCCTCCAAGTGTGGTTCTCACGGTCTGAGCTGCAGACAGTGAAGGGATCACACCCTAATTGCCCTGCCTCAAAGCCTCCTGTAATCACTGAAACTTGCCAGCCCAAAGCCAGTGTTTCTCTCCCATGCTGATTCCTTCCCACAATAAAGCACACCTCCCACGTGCCTCTTCCGAGGATGCCTCCTGATGACTTCCCGTCTCTTGGGACCTGTGAATAATCAGCTATTTCTTCGAAGCCAGTCATCTCTGAATCTGTTGACCTCCCCCATACCTACATAATAGCACAATCTACCTTGTAAAGCATACCTCTGCTCATGCAAAGGAACCCTGGGAGAGCTCCACCGTCCCCACAGAGTTGCTCCATTTGGGGCCATCTGTCACTGCTCTGCCTCCTGCCATGGCTTACTCCTATTGCCCTCGAGGGCCTCAACGAGCACTAAGCTTCAGGACGGTGGGAAACTGGCTGCTGCTTCTGGAAGAGCACATGGGGAGCCCGATTTGAACCACCCCCCTCGTGATGCTTTCCTGGAGCATTGCTCAAGCTCATAGGCGGACAGGTGATTCCTCCACTGTGCCAGTTCCTCTCTGCTCACGCTCCCAGTGGTTTAGCACAGTCACAACACTAAGACAGGTTCCCCATTTAGTAAAGGTGTCAGCCTGATTTTTTTTTTTAAATTTTCATGGTGATTGCTGAATTACAAGAGAGGAGCTATGGCTGTCCCCAGGACAGGAGTCAAGATTCTCACTGTGGCAGAGCTCTGGGGACAGGGTGAGTGACTAGGGGACCAAGTTAGCCAAGTGCCTTACTCATGAGGAGGGGAACGCTCTGTAATGGACAGCTGGGGTGAGGCAAGGACATCTAGATCCAGAGTGGGGCAGGTAGAATTTTAGATCTAGGGCTGGCGTGGCACAAATAGGCATGCAGGAATGTGGGGCTGTAGTGACTCCCACGAAGCACAGTGGGACAACGTGAGACAAGGATAAGAGGCAGAAATAAAATCCAAGAGGCCCATTGGAACCCCTCTGCTCCCCAGGCTTGTAGTCAGGGGAGGCTGCATCTATTATTACTGTCTCTCTAACATTATTTACCACTTCCCCAGGTGCTTTTCACACACTGGGCATCAAGTGGAAAATTAAACAAAGAGTCCTCACCTGGTGACCAGAGGAAACAGAAAGAACAAAGTCACCGTGGTGTCCCCAAAACCCTGAACAGGCTGTTTTAATGTTTAATGTAAGCAACAAATCCACGGGAGCAAAACAAAACAAACAAAAAAACAAACAAAACCACCATGCTCCTGACAGCCAGAACTGCCAGACCCACCGTGTTACCTGTTAGTGACACAGTCAACGAGATGCTGTTTGAACGTGAGGCTCCACTTCTTAATCACATTCAGCAGAGACGCCTTAAAAGGCCGCACGTCCATCTTCAACCAACCGTCCATCACCTTGACGGGCTCCAGCCCACACACCTCCTCATAGAGCTTTTCGTAGGAGTCGATCTGTGCTTTGAACTGGTGCAGGAGGGGCGGAGTCTCCGGGATGCTCTTGCCTTCCTCAGCGGCGTGGGCTTCCACCTCCTCTGGCGTGAGGACATGCCCGTACAGCAGGAACTGGCCCAGGGTCTCTCTGCGGTCCTCCACGTAGAGGCCAGCATACTGGCTGAAGCTGTTCCGGTAGCCGCAGCAAAGCGCCATTACACCCTTCACCCGCTCCATGAGCACACTGCGCAGGTTCGCCAGATCGGCCATGGCCTCCAGCTCGGCCTTGGGTAAGGGGTGGGACAACGGCAGTGGGCTGGGCAGAAGCTCTCCCTAGAGCGGGTAGCATGGCTTCACCACTCTCACCTCCACCCCTCACCCCTACCTCCCAATACCTGGTAGTGAGGAGAGCTGTTGTGTGGGGAGAGTCTTGGCACCAGAGAGGAGATCCTGAAAATGCTGCTGACGAGGCCTTCGACGATGTCATAGAAGCCCCCCTTGGCCCCAGACTCCAGAGACGGACAGAAAACGAGTTCTGGGATGGCTAGGCTCATTTGCACTTCAAATATGGGGTTGAGTCCTGCCTTGCACTCTGAAAAACAAGTAAAAGCCAACAACCAAGAAAAGTGGGGGACAGGCTAAGCTGAATATTGCTTGAAAGGCACTAAAGCATTTCCAACCTTTAGTAAGAGGGCAGGAGAAGGGAAATGGCAAGTCTGCGGGCACTCCCACAGAGGGGAGGCGGTCTCTTATTTTGGATAGGACAGTCCTTGTGCTGCCCTAAGAGCTGCGGGACACTGACCCTCCGCAGTGACCAACCAAAACCAGGAGTCTCCTTCCACATTCTCAAATGCTGCATGGCAGGCAGCCTAGCCTCTCCCTAGTTGGGGTTCGTTTCCCATAGGCAATTTCTAGAAAGCCACTGATTTTTTTTTCCCCAGGCAACACTCATTCAATTTCACTGGCAGCCACTAGTGAACAGGGTATAAAATCAAGTAAATAAATAATAAATGAAAGTTACAATTTTGCTCATTTTCTTAAAAGAATAAAATAACTTATTTGAGCCTGATGCAATAGCCTAGTGGCTAAATCCTTGCCTGGCATGCGCTGAGATCCAATATGGGTGCCAGTTTGTGTTCTGGTTGCTCTGTGTCCCATCCAGCTCCCTGCTTGTGGCCTGGGAAAGCAGCAGAGGACGGCCCAAAGCCTTGGGACCCTGCACCTTCACAGGAGACTTGGGGGGAGCTCCTGGCTCTTGGCTTTGGATTGGCTTATCTCCAGCCATTCTGGCCACTTGGGAAGTGAATAAGAAAGTGGAGAGAAGATTTTTCTCTCTGTATCTCCTTCTCTCTGTGTAACTGCCTTTCGAATAAAATAAATGAATCTTTAAAAAAAACTACTTATTTTAATTCTGTAGTCCTGTAGTGATAAAAAATTTAAACACAGTGTAAATAATTCACAAATTCCTGATTATTTGCTACACCAATGTGCCTTGCTTAATTTGGATCAAAATATGACATGGAGCAAGATGCCCTAAGTACAAGATAAATGCTTAAGCTTTTATCAACAGTCCCTTATTTTCATTTATCTTTTCGACTTTGGAAATATTTAGGAGCCTATTATGGGGTGGATCCTGGGAGTAGCCGACGATCAGCTGAAGTTCATTGCCTCCTTATCTATTCCCTAAAAAAAATAGAATTGTAACTGGGGATGGACTAAACTTCCCGGTCTTAGTTGCAGCCATTCATTGCAACGGGAAGAAATGGTGGTGCCAGGACTGTGGTGTGGGAACCCTCAAGAAGGAGGCGAGTTTTTCTACACACTCTCTCCCCTCCCTGAGCACACCTGCAAGTGGCTACGGCCCAGCTCAGTAAAAGAAATGAGACACGAGGGACAGCCCCAATGCGGTGTCAAACCATTCTCGTGGGTCCCTGTTCTACCTAGACAGAGGGAGATCTGGGCAGGTCCCTAAGGTAAGCTTGGCTGTGCTGGGCTCTGGGAGCCAGCACTCCAGTCTTGGCGCCTCTGCTCTATGCCTCACTGGTTCACAGGCCACCAGATGCTACAAGGTAAACGTTTTCCTGCTTTTCCGACCCTGTTAGACCCCTTTGATCCTGTTGCCAGGTGTCCTTGACTTGGATATCTCCACACCCTGCAAGCACAGATCATTTTCACTCCTCAGCAGCTCTAACTGCCAAGACCACGGGGCCGCCCACTGTGGCTGCACTCAACGCGGAGCCCTTTCTCATGCCTGAGCTCTGAACCTGCGTGGTCCCTCTTCAATGGTCTGGATATCTGCACACCGGTTCTGGCCTATACACTTTAACTGTATATTTGATTTCCAACCTTGGGTTGCACTTGACATCATCAGCTCTCATCTCCGTTTCAGTCTCCAGGTTTAAAACATTCACCTCTGCCTTTTCATTTTGTCTGGTTCTTCAACAGGAACTCTGCTCAATATCTTACAGTTTGCCAGAATGTAAAGGTACAACTCGCCTTTCAGCCTGGAACAGAAAACATCTTTCCTTCCCGTCTCACCATTTACCAGCCAAGACTAACCTTTATTAGCTGGCCTTCAGAGGCCATGCACCTTTGTCCATCTTATCCACCATCAACCCAATGTCCTTCACTGTTTCCGTTAACTTCAGAGAAGTGGCATTACCACCTTAACATTCCTTCTGAAAGTCATCTCCTCGCCTGCTTCCCATCTGACTGCATTTCACACAGAAACATTCCTTTTTCTTGCACTCAGCTTAGCTACCACAGCCTCTCTGCGTTTTTTGAAAGGCTGCAGAGTTCCAGCTTTATGGCACAGAACACCTCTGTCCCTACCAATGCCAGGAGTCAAGTATGGATGAAGCTGTCATTTACTAAGTGCCCTTCCTGCTATTGCAATCTAGTCATTCCCTGTCACTGAAGCTTGACTTCGATTGAATTAGCTGTTAGGCTTTTTCACTTTAGCCGTGGACTTCACTACCTGAGGGCCCAATTTATCACTTGATTTTTAAAGAGTCAGAAATTTCTTTCTCTTTCAACAATGTAGGAAGTCACTACTTTGGCCATGCTGCTGAGTATCATTCACGGAAAGTCCACAGCATTTATGGGAAAGTTATGGAGTGCTCAATTGCACTTCGATTTAACTCAGTGGAAGCTGCTATCTGTTATCCTGCCCCCAAATAACCCACATCCACAATTCAGTAAGTACCAGTGTTCTCCAGGAGGTACTTGAGGGAGCACTCAATGGCAAAAAAGAATCCATCCAGCAACATTTGATCAATACAGTTAACATAAGTGTTCCAGGTATTGGAGGTTGGGTCTGCTGAAAACAGATCCAGGTTTTCCTACAGGAGGAAGAAGAAAGGATAAAACCATGCTTAATAGCAAGGAAGAACTGAAAGAATCATCATTTTCATGGAGAAAAAGTCCTCTTGTGACAAACTGACTTTTATGTGAGCAACCAACCCATCAGGCTTAGTGAGTATATGCAGAGTGAGACCCTGAAGGGAACATTTGGTCCCATCTCTGAGCATGGTCAGGTTGCCTTCTCAACACGCATATTGACGGAGGCCATGGGTGTGCTTCCGGAATGCTGACTGATGTACTGCGGAGGAAGCTGCATCAGGGCAGAAGGTAGGGGATGCACGGCCGGGTCTCCCAAGGATTAACTCCACAGCACAGCTTGTTTCTCAAAGGTGTAACAGGAAGGGCAATCATGGCCTGATACATTTAGCCTGTGGCTTGACTGCAATCTCCCTCCTTCCTGCTTCCCCTTTTTGCATGTCCTTGAGGGAGCTTAGGTGTTGCTTAACCATTGGGAAGATCCTGGGAGGGGCCAAGCAAACTATATAAGAGAGTTCGACTTTGAATAAAGCTCTCATTTCACAAGGATAAGCCTCAGTGTGTGTTGTGTGTGTTGTCTTGTCTGTCTCATAACCCTAGTCCCTCCGCTCGACTCGGGGCTCGGGGTACGTGGTGACGCGGGCGTTGCCAACAAGGGGAGGCAGAGGAAGGAGCAGTAAGGGGAAGAGGACTCCATGGTCCAGTATGTGTATGAAATTTGATGGTTCGAGGAACAAAAAGTTTAGAAATGAGCTGGAGAATTTGCAGTTGGCTTCCATATGAAGTAAAAGCCTTCATCATACTGAATGATTTAGAAAACAGGTGCATTATAAATATCTCTCTCCTACTCTTCTATGTGATATGGTTTCCGGCATGATGGAACCCAAGAGTCACCATGGTAACAAGGTTGGAAGTCAAGGAAAGGAAGCCTAAAAGCTCAGAGAGGTCAAGCATGAGCTTTCCACTTACTCCTTGTCATGTTCATGATGAACACTTTTTATATCAACGTTCCAATGATCTGATATCTCAGAGAAAGCAATGACTAATTTACAGGAATCACTGTTCTGTGTGACTCACACTTAACGCCTCTTTAGGAAATGTTACCATGTTGTAAATCTCCACAGACTGAAACAATAGCACAACCATGCCTTTGAGTGGCACAATTCTAAACTTCCCAAGAGGTACTACCTACACTGTTTCTTCCTTTGTAGATTTGAAATTTTCTTAATGACTTAAAAATCCATCATCCTGCAAATTGTAACACTTATAATATAGCTCTTCTTGGGTATTCTTAAGCTGTGTATTTCTGTTTGCTTCTTCATTATGTAATTTCTAGTTTTGATGGGTGATCTATGCCATTATTTTGTCTCTTATTGTTTGACTATTAATATCATTGTATCTTTCTCCCTTCTTTACTAGCTCAACCTCACTGTGGTCTAAAGAATAAACGTGTTAGAATTTTCTGTGAAAAAGAGATGGCTAAGGTTGGTGGTGCTAACCAAGACAGAAGAATGAGACCGTGTATGTCCTTCTGCTAATGAACTACCATGGAAGTGGATAAAACACAACAAGGTATTGGTGTGGGGTGTAATTAGATAACCAAAGAAGGAAACCATCCTTGAGAGAAGTGAGCTTCACAACCACCCAGCCTTCTACTGAAAGACATTTTCCAAACTACAACACACAAGGGAGTGGGACTTAACTAAAGCATTACTCCCGACGAGCAGAGAAGACAGCAGTTGAAGGTCAGGGCTAGCAACATGGCTGGGACCTCCTGAGGATTTGCCTCAGTATTAGCCATACACGTTTATGGCAAGAACCTACACAAAAACAGTTGCAGGGGCCCAAAGCCAAATAGAATAGGTGCAAGTCATACAACTCTGGAGGAAATTTGACTTCCATCTGAAAAATGATCCCAAGAGCTTGCAGATAAGCTGCAGGTTCAGCTGAGATCACAGAAGTGCCTTAGGTTTGGAGCTGCTCTACTCTACAGCAAGTTCTCTTTAGATCCTCCTTGGAGATGTTCAAGAGTGAACTTCGACCATATCAAGGTGACCCATGAGGAAATCATCTGCCTGCCAAAGCGAACACCCAGGGATGTTTTAAAGGAACACTTAGATTTCTGTGTGACATTCACGAAACTTGCCTAGCACATAGCAAAAGGTTATGAGATATACAAAGAAGCAGAAAAATGTGACATTCAGGAGGAGGGAAAATAGTCTCTAGGAACAGACTCCACAAAGCAGTGTGCGTAGGTCCTGATTCTGTAGCTATCACAGCCCCGGGTGCTCACCTGTTAGACGTACTGATGCAAGAGAAAAATAAACTTTAGTCTCTCTTTAAAAAGACTCAGTGAATAACATGGATGTGGAACTAGCAGACAAAAACATCATAATTTGACAAAAAAAGTCCCAGATTTGGCAAAAAGTGATTCAAGAAGTTTATAAAGTCCAAGCAGAATGAATATAATAAAAAAACCCACTTAAGCACATCATAGCTGAACTGAAAAGAAAATCAAAGATTAAAAGAGATTCTATTAAAAGAAGCCTGAGAGAAACAATACATTATGTATAGAAGAACAAAGATACAAATTATAGCTGGCTTCTTATAAGACTCATCGCCGGGTAGAAGACAATGACATAACTTCTAAAAAGAAAAGCAGAAACTATCTACACAGCTCTATATTCAGGGAAGAAATGCTTCACAAACAAGGGTGACATAAGGACACTTTCAGATGAACAAAAGCTGAACCTCAACAAAGACTCAAAAAAAAAAAAATTCTTTAGGCTGAAGATAAATGACCCCTCGTGGGAACTTAGATCTACAGAAATGGAATAACAAGCCTGAAAATTGTGAATAGGTGAGCAAACCTGAGAGGCTGGAGCGGGCTTGAGGTGCAGGAACGACCACCTGGGACATTCACCTGGGTTCAAATGACAGCTCTGCTCCCAATCCCAGCGTCTTGCTGATGTGCACCCTGGCAGGCAGTGGGTGATGGTTCAAGTATTTGAGTCCTGTCACCCACATGGAGATCCTCATTGAATTCCCAATGGTTGGTACCCACCTGGCCCAGAGCAGATTGTTGCAGGAATTTGGGACAGTGAAACGGAACATTTGATGATATTGATTTTAACCCATCGAGGAACATGACATGTTTCTTCCTTTTTTGAAGTTTTCTTCCATGTCTTTTCTAAACTTTTTTGTAGTTTTCTTTATAGATGTCTTCTATATTTTTAGCTAGATTTATTCCCAGATACTTCATTTTCTTCTCTGTTATTTTGAACGGCACCATGCTGGTTAGTCCTTTTTCCATCTTGGGGCTGTTTGCATACACTATCACTGTTCATTTATTTTGTACCCTGCCACTCTACCAAACTCTCTTGTAAGTTCTAGCAGTCTCTGTATTGAATCTCTTGGTTCTTCTATGTATAGGATCATGACATCTGCAAATAGTGATAGCTTGACTTCTTTGTTTCCCATTTGAATTCCTTTGATTTCATTTTCTTGTCCTATAGCCTCTGCAAGTATTTCCAGTACTATATTGAATAGCAATGGTGATAGTGAACATCCTTATCTTGTTCCAGATCTCAGTAGGAAGGCTTCCAACTTTTCTCCATTCAGTATGATGCTGGCATTGCATTTTTCATATATTGCTTTGATTATGTTGTGGATTGTGCCTTCTATGCCTACCTTTCTTAGTGTTTTTAGCATGAAGTGGTGTTGGATTTTGTCAAAAGCTTTTTCTGTGTCTACTGACACTATTATTTTTGTTCTTCAGTTTTTGTATGTGGTGTATCACATTTATGGATTTATGAATGTTGAACCATCCCTGCATGCCCGGGATGAATCCTACTTGATTCGGATGAATGATCTGTCTGATGGCTTTTTTTGTATTCTATTAGCTAGGATTTTGTTGAGGATCTTAGCATCTATGTTCATCATGGATATTGGTCTGTAGTTTTCCTTCTCTGTTAATTCTCTATCCAGTTTTGGCTTCATAGAATGAGTTTGGAAGGGTTGCTTCCTCTTCTATTGTTTTGAAGAGTTTATAGAGTTTGGGGTTAGCTCTACTTGGAATGCTTTGTAGAAGTCAGCAGTGAAACCATCTGTGCCTGGGCTTTTCTTTGTTTGGAGATCTTTAATCACTGATTTGATCTCTGCCTCAGTTATAGGTTTATTGAGGTGTTCTGTTGCCTCTTGATTAAGTTTTGGTAGGCAATAACAATCAAGACCAAAATAAACAAATGGGACTACATCAAACTAAGAAGCTTCTGCACAGTAAACAATCAATCAACAGAGTAAAAAAGCAACCCACAGAATGGAAGATCTTTGCACACTACACAGGAGACAAGGGGCTAAACTCCAGAACATACAAAGATCTCCAGAACAACCAAAACAACAAAACAAACCACTCAAGAAATGGGCATGGGAAATGGGCAGACACTTTACAAAGCAACAAATCCAAATGGCCAACAAACATATGAAAAAATGCTCAAGCTCCCTGGCAATAAGTGAAATCCAAATTAAGATATCACTGAGGTGCCACCTAATGCCAGTAAGAATGGCTCACATGCAAAAAGTCAATTACAACACTGCTGGCGAGGTTACAGGGAAAAGGGAACCCTACTCCACTGGTGGTGGGGCTGCAGGCTTGTGCAGCCTCTATGGAAATCAGTATGGAGAACACTCAAACAACTGAAACTCTGCATACCATATGACCCAGCAATAGTACTTCTATGAATATATCCAAAACACCTGTTACATGAGAAACCAACATGCACCCCTATGTTCATAGCAGCACAATCAATAACTGCAAAAACTTGGAAGCAACCAAAATGCCCATCAATAGAAGACTGGATAAGGAAAATATGTTGAATCTACTCCATGGAATACTACTCAGCTATGAAAAACAAAACAAAACAAAACAAAGAAAAAAACAAAATGCAGTTCTTCGTGGCCAAATGGGCCCAACTGCAAACCATTATGCTAAGGGAAATTAGTC